ATATATTCTTTCTTGTAAATTGATTATCACGCTGGAAATAAAATGTAAATATATTATGATAAAATCTCCTTTTCTATCTTTAGTACACAAAAGATTAACCAAGATATTAAGATAAAAATTATGTGATTTAAACTTTATTCTGAAAAATATTGTTTTATTGTAAATAACTGTAAGAATACTATTTAAATTGCTGAAGTAAGTTGTATACTTAATAAGTTGCATATTGAAAAAGCGGGATTTTTTTTTATTTTTGCAGTATTCAAGAAATAATTTCCAAAAAACTGTCATTTTAAGACAATAAAAAAATGCTCAAGAGCATATTGAAATTAAAAATTGGATGGGTTTGATTTATATTTTGTGTGCCGGTTATTCTTTAATCATTTCTATTATCATAATATCAAACAATTTACAACACTAAGACAGAAAAATTACAGATATAAAATAAATATTTGTTTATTATAAAAAAAAATACTCGCATCAAACAGATCTTTTACTTTCAAAGTTAAAATCTGGAAAATTAATGCTACAAAACCCTATCGAAATTCTATTTAAGAGTATAAATAAATTACATTCGAAAGTTGGTGAATTATTTCTACTAAATGAAAAAAAAAATTATTAAAATTGCAAGTGATAATTTTTTTCTTTATTTAAAATTACCTAATAAAGTGAACTAACTTAGATTTAAAAAATAAGAGATCTATTGTAATGAAGTAATTTGTCAGTTTATTAAAATTAGTGCCAGAAAAAAAGTTTTAATGAAACAGTTTCAAGTTTCTTTTTATTTGACAATCATTTGTGCATAAAGCCGATATTATTTTTTGCCCTTTCTTATTAGCTAAAAAAATAATAAACTCAAAAAATGATCGCAATAAATGATTGAAACGTTCATATCAAAAATGTAAGGAAACTTGGAAGAATTTGAATGAAATTTTTTGTGCGTGTAATTATTTAATTTCTTTGAATATAAATAATAATATCAAACAATTCCTGATTCTGAACATTAGAAATAGTACTTTAAACCCAAAAATCACATGACTAGCTATTACTTTGAACGTTATAACTTGAAAATACTTCTAAAAGATATTTGAAATAAAGAAGTAAACCAGAAAATCAAAGAAAGAAGTTTAAAAAACGAAGGAGAGAACCAGAAGTTTGGAAAACAAGAATTTGCATTAATAACTTTTCTTTTCATCGTCGAAAAAATTTCTAAGAAATTATTTAACATAAAATGCAAATTATCGAAATCCCCTCTAAACATCTCTAAGAAATATCATCACAAAGGATTTCTAGCAAACAGTTCATATTATTATACTGAAAATGAAAATGCTTAAAAGAGAAAAATAACTTTGGTTGGAAACATAAAATGCCTTTTTTGCAATAAATATTTTGCTAGTGTAACAAAATTGTTACTAAAATAATAATTGTTTCAAGGCAAAAGTTGCAAAGCACATTTGTAATCAATTCGTAATAACCCATGTGTACAAAGTAGACGTTATTTTGGTCAATTTTTTGTATTTGAAGAACTTGCAGAGAAAATTGCAATTGAATAAAATTCTTTTAAAAAAAATTTGCGTTAATATATTTTGTTTCCAACGTCATAAGTCAAAAGAAATTCTTAAAAGTTATTCAATATAAAATGCAAACTATTAAAATTCCTTCTAAATATCTCTAAGAAATACTTTCACATATTACATTAAAAATAAAAACTAGAAAATAGTTAATTAACATTCGTTCGAAGCATGAAATAATTTTTCTCCAAACATTTTTTGGCAGTGTAACAAAATTGATACTAAAAAGAAGTTGTTTCAGCGCAAAAGTTGCAATTAAATAATAAACAATGTACACAAAGTGGACGCTTCATTTTGCACAATTTTTTGCATTAAATTAAATATTTTTTTTAAGAAAAGGCTTTTAAAGAACAAAAAAAAACTAAGTAAAGGAAATTATCTTTTAGAAAACAACAAATTTGCACTAAAAAGTTATAAAACATCAAATTCAAATCATCAAAATATCATCTAAACATCTCTAAGAAATACTATCAAAAATTGGTAAATGCTTTCTAATAAACAAAATAAACTCTCTGACAAGAAAGTTTTGTCGAACGATGCAAACTCACCTGTTCCGAAATGGGATGTGGAAGATGCAAGTAGGAAAGAAAATCGGAAAGGTCCTCCCATCCGCGTGGCAAAAGACTATCTGAGGCTTGTGGATCGATGCTACATGCTTTTGCGTCATTCAACACATGCTAAAGGGATACCTGAGAGACGATTCTCTACATCTTCCAATATCACAGTTTTGTGAGAAATCAAAAAATTGTCGTGACGTAAGACTTTTGTCGATAATTTAGGTCCTTTTTGACTCTTTTATAAACCGATATTCCAAATAGATGGAATTCCATAGTAATTTTGAATTATCGTGACAATACGGTATAAGTTTTATTTATTTTTTGCATTTTCGAAGACGTCGTGTAGATTTTTCTATTTTGGTGTTGGTGGAAAGTCATGAAGAATGCTAACTAATAGCTTATAAAATTAATGTTTAATAGCTTTTAATTTTTTTTAAAAGTTTACTAATAACACAAATATATTTTTCAGCGTGGATTAGAAATTTCTTCTCCATTGCAAACTTTTTTTAAAAGAACTTTTTACTTGCTGAAACCTGTTGAACATGATAAACTACCTTTAATGGCAATAAAATAGTCAATTGCTATTTTAATATCTTGTTGCAAGATTTTAACGCAAACATATTTTGTAAACTTAACTGACAAATTTACTATCAATTAAAAGAAATAAGTAACTTTTATAAAGCGCACTAATTATAGAGTGCAATGGATTTTTAAGTTGAATGCTATAAGCATCAATTTAGGTCTTTTTTAAACCTTTATAACCATATACGCCAAAAAGATGAGATCTCTTTTTAGCTTAGACACATCGTGACAGAATGGTATAAGGTTTAGTTATGTTTTGCATCTTCTGCATCAAAGTGATGATTTCTGTATTTTGGAACTAGCGAAAAGTTTTGAAGAGTAGTAACTTTTGTATTAATGTATAATAATTTATAAAAAAAAAAATTTGAAAATCTACTGACAACAATAAATTTTTCACTAACACGAATAAATTTTTCAGCTCGGATTTAATCCTATTGCAAGCTTTTTTAAAAAAAATATTTGATATGCTAAACTTGTTGAATGTGAACTGCCAGGAAACATAATAAAATAGTTATTGTTAACTATTTTATTGTCTTGACGCATTATGTAGTCATAAACATATTTTGTAAACTTAACTGAAAAATTTACTACCGAAAAAAAATTCGTCACTTTTAAAAAGCGCACTAATTATACAGCACGATGGAGTTTTTTTGCTTGATGCATTAATTTACGATCAAAAAAGCTTCCATTGTTTTTATGCAATATTAAAAGAACAATAAGAGATTTTAGCAAAATTTTTTGCACTCAAATTTTTTAATAAAAAAGACCTAAATTAATTTTTTGCATTGATATCGGTCTTTTTTCTTTAGGTTTTCTACCCTATACGTGAAAAATTTGATCAACGTGACATAATGGTATAACTTTAATAATATTCTGCATCTTCTACTTTGTAATAATGATTTTAGTATTTTGGTGCTAGTGTAGTTTTCAGAAGGCAAATAAATTTCGCATTAATGATGAAAATTTTGTAAAAAGAACTGCTTCTAACAACAAATGCATATTTTTTCAACTCTTATTAAAAATTATTTCTCTACTACAAACTTTGAAGGAAAAGAAAACACCAAAATTCGTAAAACATTAATAATATAGAATTTATTCTGTTATTTTTCTCACTTTCCTTGTCGTATATATCTTAGTACTTTGGTATTTTGAAAGTATTCAACGTTGGTATCTTTTGCATTAAGAATGAAAATTTTATGGAAATGGAAAAATATTTCTTTATTAAAAACTTAAAAAGAAAAGTTGAAATTCTCAGAACATCAGTAAATAACTCTCATCATCGCATGTCGATATCTTACAGGCGAACAAGTTTTTATCAACTTAAGAAACTTTTCTGACACTGGAAATGTATTTTCAGCTGATATTAGAAATCATTTCTCCATTGGAAACTTTTTAAAAAATTTTATGTGCTGAAACCTTTAAGAATAACTGTTTTATTATCCTTTTCGCAAATATTTTATAGCAAATATATCTTGTAAATTAACAAGACAATTTACTTCGCATATAAAATAGCCATTTTAACAATCAGAACTATAATTAATCTTTTAATACCACTAAAGGGTCTTTAGCTGGATGCTACAACCTGCAATTTAGACCTCTTTTAATGTTCTCACAACCCTTTCTGCCAAATTTAGGGTATCCCGTATCAACTTTAAATTATAATAGAAAGGTATTTAATGTTTATATGATCTTCTTTGCCGTTCTCTAAATTCCGGTGTTTTAGTGTTAGTTAAAAGTTTTGATGCCTGGTAATTGTATTCAATGAGCACATACAGAAAATTTGCAAAAAAATTGCTTCTATGGATGTTTTTTTTTTATATATATAACAGTCGATGAACAGCCGACCTAATTTTTTGGGTTTACAACTTCTAATGCTCAACACCGTAGCCTTGTAATTTTGAACCCAATCCAGAACACAAGGGAACTCCTAGATAGAGTATTGGGAGAAATTTGCCTTCGTGGAGGACTTTTTGATGGAACTAACCCGCGTTTCATGGATAATTTGCGTTTCATGGAGAGGAAGACTACGAGAACCTCCCACGAATAGCCTGACGGCAAGGGGACTCTAACCCATGATCCGTCTACCACTGAGGATATTTCACGTCAGCACTGTGGGCGGTGCAAGCCGGATGCGGAATTCGTATCGACTGGGACTCGAACCCGGTTCGCCTCATTGGAAGGCGAACGCTCTTTCTCCTGAGCCATCACGACTCTCTATGGATGGTAAACCATATAAAGCTAAGCACAGGTCGCGATAGAGGTTAAAATTCGCAGTAAGAGTTCTGGGTTACTGCTTCCGATTTATTTTTATGCCTAGGTTTGAAAAAGCAGGCCATCCAATATTATTATGCTTGCAGTGTTTACAATTTGAATCATTCCTTCAATTTAACTTACAACGAAAAAGAAACAATAAAAGAATTCGGAGTACTCCTCAAGCATGCTATGATGCTACCCAAAAATTACAAACAGTTATATTTTGCACAAATATTGCCAAATAGGGGATAATACTCAAAAGATGGCAAACCTTACGTTTTATTTATGTTATGATATTAATTTTCTCAAATTTACTTACTGCTAACGACCTTTCAGAATTTATAAATTACAGAACACTCTAATGAATGGTAAAATTACGTGTAAATTTAAACACAAATCACAATCGTAAAACATACTGAAATATCAAGCCTGATCACGCATCAAATCGTAAACATAATATAAGCGGAGGGAAGTACCGGAAGTTTGTAATATATTTTCCGATTTTTAGAAGCTTTTTATTTTTTTACATTCAGTCAACCATCCTCAAACAGAAGAAATTCAATTTTTCCTCCAGTATTAGAAAATATTTCCCGATTACAAATATTTTAAGAACAAATGATGAAATTTGCAAAACGTATTATTTATAATATTATTTTAATACAGAAAATATACTAATTACAGGGCATTTTAGAGTTTTTTGATCGACTTTTGCTACATTCAAAACTGCTAAGATAGAGAACAAAAAGGCCTCAATCTGTGTTTTTCTACATTACATTTTGTGTGAAGTAGTAATAAATTGTACAGCAAGTTAAGAATTTTGCAAATGCCTTAAGTCCTATATTAATCCACACTTCAGAGAATTCTCTTATCATTAATAATTAACTATACCAAATAAGCCAGAAAAAGCCCTAGAAAACTAGAGGTTATTAAAAATAGATTAGGGGTTGGACGCACTCGTTTTATCCATGAACACTTGCTATTCAATGAGCCAGCTTCCATATATTTTAGGCGCCAAGAACCTTTAACAGTGAAACCACATTTTGATACAGTACATTAAATATAAATAATTAAATAACTCAGACGATTTAACCTAATGCATGGAATATGAACAACTTGGACAATGGTACTTAAACCATCAATTTGTAACTTCACAGTCTTCAATTGGCGATACTCCACACCAGATTGTTGAATTTTATCTTAAGGACATAGGTCTTTATTCAATGTTTTAGTTCGATTTTTACTCTTCGGCATTCTTTTTACCAGGAGTGAAGTGCGGTATACCCAAATGTGGCTCTTGCACTTGAAATGAAAGTAATTAAATCTTATGACTACAAACGTTTTCGCTGCCCCAAGGTTTGACGCAGTGCATCCGGTTCCGGCTCTTGAGACTTTAAACTCTACGTTCAACTCATTGACAACTTCTCACTTTTTGTAATATGCTTCCTTCTGAAATAGAGTAAGTCTCAAAATTGTCAAGATGCTAAGAAAGTTTGAGATCAAATCTTCTAGAAATAGGACAGTTTAATGCAATGAAATCATCATTTAGGCAGAGTGTTCTGCATTTCTTGTATTATGAAAACTGTGATAGAATGGTTAATGTAATAAATTATTTGCTACTTTGTTCTTTTAAGGATTAAGGTTTTCCTTTCCGCATCTCCAATAATTTGTCCTAATTTACATATTTGTTTACTAATTTGAGGGTTGATCCTACTTTTAAAAATGTTTTGAAGATATCTGACCTTTATTTTAACCCTTTTAATCGTCGACAGATAATGTGAAGAAAAATTCTAAGATTTTTCGGGAAAATGTTGGCTTTTAAAGTAAATCAGAGGCTTGCAAATTTTCTTTAGAATTTGTTTGTTTAGAAGTCTTTAACTACCGATTAAAGAGGCTCACATCCATCCACCTAAATCTACATATTACATTTACCATTTACCTATACCATTTACCTATACCATTTACCTATACCATTTACCTATACCATTTACATACACCATTTACCTATAAAAAGGGAAAGTACTTCCACAACAACCACTTGGAGAAAGAAACGCAAGATGGTGACAGTAAGGTCAGAATTGCGCAATAAAGTATTTTTTAATAATTACCAAGAATCTGCAAGCATCTTAAAGAAAGAATAAAATCTTTAAAATATCAAAAGATTTCTGAAAGAAACGACATTTTCTGTATAGCGTTTTAGATAATTTTATTAGTTTTTACGAAGA